TGCCAACAAAAGAAACCCCTGAAGACAAGTCAGGGCTGTGGTCAGTTGGGAGGAGTTAAGGGGCAGGATTCAGGGAGCCACTGTTTTAAATGTATTTTCCTATTCGAAATTAACATATACATACAAATGTGTATTTGTGTGTATTATATATATATATTTATTTATTCTTTAAAACGTAGTGTTTTCTGTAATTCTTTTATGCTGAAATGTACTAAAGTGAGAAATGTGTGTTTTGCCAAAGCATAATGATTTCTAAAATGAAAATGCACAGACAGGGTTGGTGGGGTGTTAGATGGACCAAGTCTTCTTAGGCAGTAACAATGACGTGCTCCAGGAAGCTACACACATTTAACGTGCAGTTCTTCCATCTGGATGGCACAGAGGGTCTGGGGTGAGGGCAGGTCACCAACCCACCCTGTGTCATCAGACCTTCTGCTCCTCCCAGGGCCCAAGGGCATGAGACTCTGCCAGTTGATCCTTGAGCCTCCCCCTCCCTCTGCATCTCTTTCAGTATCTGGGTGTTCAGCCCCCTGAAGATGCCCGTGTGCGTGCCTGGGCTCGATGCCTCCTGCAGGACATTTATAGACACTCTGAGCATAGACAACCCCCTCACAGAGAGCAGCACCCAGGCCAGAGACCTGTGGACAGACTCTGGGGAGGCCAGGGCCCCAAGGTCACCTTCCAGGGCATGAGGAGCCCTCTGAGACCTGCACACGCACCCCAGAGAGCTCCTCCTCCCTCCTCTGTGCCCCTAGTGACCTTCGCACCTCCGTGTTGCAGATTTTTCGAATATCTGGAAGGACCTGGACACAAGACCTCACCCTGGCCCAGCGACCAACTGGATAGTGAGAGTTTTAGGGACTGTGCTACACTTTCTGGACTCTTATATTCTGTTTAATTGTTTAAAAAATATTCTTACTTGGCCGGGCGCGGTGGCTCAAGCCTGTAATCCCAGCACTTTGGGAGGCTGAGGCGGGTGGATCACGAGGTCAAGAGATCGAGACCATCCTGGTCAACATGGTGAAACCCCGTCTCTACTAAAAATACAAACAATTAGCTGGGCATGGTGGCGCGTGCCTGTAATCCCAGCGACTCAGGAGGCTGGGGCAGGAGAATTGCCTGAACCCAGGAGGCGGAGGTTGCGATGAGCCGAGATCGTGCCATTGCAATCCAGCCTGGGTAACAAGAGCGAAACTCCGTCTCAAAAAAAAAAAAAAAAAGAAGAAAAAATATTCTTACTTTAGGCTAGGCACAGTGGCTCATGCCTGTAATCCCAGCACTTTGGGAGGCCACGGTGGGCGGATCACTAGGTCAAGAGATTGAGATCATCCTGGCCAACATGGTGAAACCCCATTTCTACTAAAAATACAAAAATTAGCCAGGTGTGGGCAGGCGACTGTAGTCCCAGCTACTCGGGAAGCTGAGTCAGGAGAACTGCTTGAATCCAGGAAGCAGAGACTGTAGTGAGCCAAGGTTGTCTCACTGCACTCCAGCCTGGTGACAGAGCAAGACTCTGGCTCAAAACAAAATTCTTAATCTGTTTTTTGTAAGACAGAAGCTGTTATTGTAGCTTACATTTTATTCCTTAAGTAATTTTTCAATTGTTTTTTTTATTTTTGTCCAATTATTCTGGAATTTTTATAATTTTGACAGATGTTTTATGCTTTGTATTATTTTCTTAATGACTTTTACCTTAGTTTTTAAAAAATCCATGGTACAGTAAGTTATAGTAAGACATAGTATTTTTTAGTTTATATTCTGTACGTATTTTCACATATGTGTTAATGGCTGGGCATGGTGGCTCACACCTGTAATCCCAGCACTTTGGGAGGCCAAGACAGGAGGATCACTTGAGCCCAGGAATTGAAGACCAGCTTGAACAACATAGTGAGACTTCATCCCTACTAAAAAAAATACACGGGGGCCAGGCGTGGTGGCTCAAGCCTGTAATCCTAGCACTTTGGGAGGCCGAGGCGGGTGGATCACGAGGTCGAGAGATCGAGACCATCCTGGTCAACATGGTGAAACCCCGTCTCTACTAAAAATACAAAAAATTAGCTGGGCATGGTGACGCGTGCCTGTAATCCCAGCTACTCAGGAGGCTGGGGTAGGAGAATTGCCCGAACCCAGGAGGCGGAGGTTGCGGTGAGCCGAGATCGCGCCATTGCACTCCAGCCTGGGTAACAAGAGCGAAACTCCGTCCCAAAAAAAAAAAAAAAAAAAAAAAAAAACACACACACACACACACACACACACACACACACAAGCTGGTCATGGTGGCAAATTTTTATTTTGGCTTATTTATGGTGGCTTATCTTTTATTTTTCATGAAAATAGGGTTTCACCATGTTGCTCAGGCTGGTCTCACACTCCTGGGCTCAAGAGATCCTCCCACCTTAGCCTCCCAAAGTGCAAGGATTACAGGCATGAGCAAGACAAGATTTTTTTCCAAGATAGAAGACCCAATGAGATCCCTACGTCCTGCTTCATCTTTTTTTTTTTTTTTTTGAGACTGAGTCTTGCACTGTCACCCAGGCTGCAATGCAGTGGCGTGATCTCAGATCACTGCAACCTCTGCTTCCCAGGTTAAAGAAATCTTCCTACCTCAGCCTCCCGCATAGCTAGGATTAAAGTCTCGTACCAGCACACCCGGCTATTTTTGTATTTTTGGTAGAGACAGTGCTTCACCATGTTGGCCAGGCTGGTCTCAAGCTCCTGACCTCAGGTGATCTGCCAGCCTCGGCTTCCCAAAGTGCTGGGATTATAGGTGTGAGCCACCACAGCCAGCCCTCATCTCTCCTCTTGCCTGACAAACCTACACAGCCTTTTTGACCTGCAGAGCTCTATTCCCCAGAGGATTCTGAGCTGTAGGAGGTAAAAGCCAGGGTCCTTTGTTCCTGCTTTCTACTCTGTCACTTTCATCTCCTGGGCCAATGAATTTGGCTGCTCCCAAGCAGGGCTCAGGACCAGAGCATGAAATTCCAGAGCAGAAAGAACAAAGTCAGATATTACAAAATGTCATCCTGCTCCACTTAGTTCAGGTCCTTGATCCACTTGGATGCCTCTTTCTAAACAGGACCTGCTCTGGGCTGTGGGGATTCCTGTCTGCTGCAGGTTTGGTGGGACAGATACCTTTCTCTGCCCTAGGACTGCATTTGTTTTCATGTAGTCTGGCCAAAGCAATATTCACTAAACTTTAGGCATTCTTGGATCACCTTTATGAGTTTTGCTATTTTGGCATGCTACATATAAGTTTTTCTTTATTTTTTTATGTAGTGTCTTCCTCCTTTTACTTATTTTATTGTGATAAAATTCACATAAAAAAATAAAAAATTCACATAAAATTCGTTTTGAAGTGTACCATTCAGTGACCTTTATTACGATGTTGTGCAACTATCACTACAGTTCCAATTTCTCCTCATCCCAAAAGGAAGCCCCATTGTTTCCCCCCAACAACACACACACACAAACTCCCTCCTCCCAATCCTTGGTAACTTAATCTGTTTCTATGAACTTGCCTATTCTGTAATTTTTTTAGAGGTTCTCATTAGGTTGCCTAGGCTGACCTCAAGCTCCTGGGCTTAAGAGGACCCTCTCACCTCAGCTTCCTAAGTAGCTGGGACTTCAGGTGTATGCCAGCATGCTTGGCAATACTGATTTTTTTTTTTTTTTTTTTTTTGAGATAGGGTCTCATTTTGTTACCCAGGCCGGGGTACAGTGGCGTGATCTCGGTTCACTGTAACCTCCACCTCCTGAGTTCAAGCAATTCTCCTGCCTCAGCCTCGCGAGTAGCTGGGATTACAGGTGCCTGCCATCATGCCCAGCTAATTTTTTTGTATTTTGGTAGAGATGGGGTTTCACCATGTTGTCCAGGTTGGTCTCGAACTCCTGAGCTCAGGTAATCCAACCACCTGTCTCCCAAAGTGCCAGTATTACAGGCACCCGACACGGCTCCCAGCCAACTTTTGGTATTTTTAGTAAAGACGAGGTTTCAGCTTGTTGGCCAGGCTGGCCTTGAACTCCTGACCTCAAGTGATCCGCCTGCCTGGGCCTCCCAAAGTGCTGGGATTACAGCCGTGAGCCACCACGACCAGCCCCAATAAATCTGGATTTTTAATGTGTTATCTCCACATTCTGAAACCTTGGCAACGAATACAATTTGTAAAAGATTGTGGGTAGAGCAGACCGCATTCTATGGAAGCAGAAAAGGGGGCCTGAGCCAGGCGCGGTGGTTCACACCTGTAATCCCACCAGTATGGGAGGCTGAGGTGGGAGGATTGCTTGAGCACGGAAGGTCAAGGCTGCAGTGAGCCATGATCGCGCCACTGCACGCCAGCCTGGGTGACAAAGTGAGACCCAGTGTTTTAAAA